AAATAAAAAAATAAATTAAATTAATAACAAATAATTGAACAATAAATTTAAGTAGCGGAACACATTTCATTTTGGGCTCCGGCTGAATAAAAATCCTATATGTATATAGAACAGAGTGTCAATAAAAATTAATATAATTAAAAACATATACATGTATGTGTAACTTTGTTTTTATATTTACGCGACAAATGGAAGTGCCCTCGTGTAAGTCCGACAAAGGGAATACTGGCCGCACTGTTTCTTTTAATTCTATAAAATTATAAGGAGTATAAAATATATGTAAACTTTCATCATATACACACAATAATTTAACACTGCAGAAAATTTTGCATATAATGAATTTAATATGGAGAATTAAAGCCGAACTTTCATTTCAACGAAAAAAATAAAAGTATCGTATTCTATTATGATTAAGAAAACATTTGTGTGCGCTATCACAAACACTGTTTTAATGGTGAATTAAAAGCACGGTTTCAAATAACCTAGTTAAATTTTGACAACTTGGATTTTACATAAATTAATTTCATTCCCACTTGAAATTTCATTTTTAATCATAATAATTATTACGCGTAAAATTTTTCAGGAAGTCGTAGCTATTTTGGATTTCCTGAAAATGTGGGCTGTTTTTAAGTGGGCATTCGTCTTGTGGGCTTTTGTCTTGCAGTTTTCTAATTCGCCGCTGGCTAATTCAGGCGGGAAACCGTTGTGTTCCTTTTCTTTTGCCCCCCAGCTGTGTGAAAAAGTAGTTAAAGAGAGGAGAGCCTTGCTTAATTGCTTTATCCCCTATCGAACCTGGGGTGCCAAAGAACGGCCTCAGAAGGGCCGGGGTGGCAGGAGATCAATTAAAAGGTGGTCAAGAATAAATTAAAGAGGATTTTAAATGTTTTTTGTTAGTTACTAGAAAATAACAATATCTGAAATTCCGCTGGTAACTAAAGTTAACCCCTTTCCTTGCATTTCTTTAGTCTAGTTCTTGAATAACTTTTTATCTAAGGATTTCCTGAAAATGTGGGCTATTTTTAAATGGGCATTCCTCTTGTGGGCTTTTGTCTTGCAGTTTTCTAACTCGCCGCTGGCTAATTCAGGTGGAAAACCGTTGTGTTCCTTTTCTTTTGCCCCCCAGCTGTGTGAAAAAGTAGTTAAAAGAGGAGAGCCTTGCTTAATTGCTTTATCCCCTATCGAACCTGGGGTGCCAAAGAACGGCCTCAGAAGGGCCGGGGTGGCAGGAGATCAATTAAAGGGTGGTCAAGAATAAATTAAAGAGGATTTTAAATGTTTTTTGTTAGTTACTAGAAAATAACAATATCTGAAATTCCGCTGGTAACTAAAGTTAACCCCTTTCCTTGCATTTCTTTAGTCTAGTTCTTGAATAACTTTTTATCTAAGGATTTAGTTAGAATTTCAATTATTTTAAAAATTTCAATAACTGGAAAACGAAAGGAATTAAATATTTCTGAACTATTTTTATAAGGGATAATTCACTGTTTTTGCAGTAAAACTGCAGAGTGAAAAAATAGGCTAGTGCCTGATTCGATAGTGTCTCTAACAACTTTTTGATGAACTAATTAAACTTGTTTGTTATATCGAAGTAAAGCCATTGTTTAAAAGTAAAACTACTGAACTATTTCTAAAAAAATTAAATTATTACATATATTAAAATTTACGTAAATTTTTCATTTTAACTTTAATATGGTTGAAAACGCAACCATATGAAAGTCAAAATGAAAAACACGAAACCATATAAAAGTTAAACTATTCGAATAATTTTAATAACGAAGGTTTCTGAACTCAAGAACAAGAGGATTTAAGAAACATGAACCATTGTAAGAAAAGTAATCTTGCACATTAAACGATTTTTATTTCAATAAAAAATATTATGTTACTCGATTAACTGTAAACGTTTAAAAATAGTTCAGTTTAATTCACTGTAATTATTTATATGCAAAAACTTTCAATGAAGTAAATTTAAACAACATTTGAAAACTGAATTTCACTGGAACACTTCTTTTGTGGGTTTTATGCTGTTATTACGTGTTAAATGTTATTTCGCCTAGATTAAGAAAAAGAAACGCATAACGTGTAAAAATTTATTATTTAGAAAAACTATCAAATTAAGGTCATTTTCTTCACCTTGACATGCATTGTTTTCCCTATACGAATTTCATAGTCTGACAACACAGAAATAGTGGCCACATAACTTGTAGGAGATATTTCTTATAAACCTCGTGTATTGGCGATCAAGTAGAAAAAATATTTAATTATGGAGCTACGTTTTGAATAATTTTCCCCTTATTGAATGAGCTCAAAATTTCTAATATCTTGTTTTCTAGCATGAAATGTTTCACCTGTTTTTAATGTTCTTTCCTAAGAATAATTCATTAAGCAGAAGTTAGTAATAACATATAAGGTATACTTCAAATTTGATTTCTTAGGTTTATTAGGTCTAGTTACCAAATAAACGTTTTTGAATTCAACATCAAATTTTAAACATATTTTTTTTTTTTTAAATTTGTGTCTTAACTTTTATTTTCAAAAAACATTATAAGAGAAGTGAGACAAATTAAATTATCTGTACATTCAGTCACTAATAAAAACTAATTCTGTCTAGACTATGGTCCTCAATCAGAAGGAATTCATGTCTAAATTTTCTACACAGAAATCCTGTGTCTAATTTTTAGTACCTTTTTATTGGACGAAATTTTTCAAAGAGGAATGAATTAAAGTCTTGATTGCGAAAAACACATCTTTAAAGCTAAATGTATTCTAAGAAGTACAAAAAAATGTAAACAGGATTTTGTCCCCCCTCAAATCAGACATTTAAACTATTCAAACCGTTCAGGAAAAGGATAAACATTACGAACATAAAAATTTGCTCTTTTTTATATATACTTTAATAAAAGGAAATGTGTACCTTCTTTTTATAAGAAAAGGAACCCATTTTCCTTTCTAAACTTTTTAAAGTCGCCAACGCTTAAAAAATGATAAACAACGCCAAGGTTACGCCCGCCTTTTTTTTAAAAAAAAGATTCACTACAGCAGTTAGCGAACGCAGAATCCGTTCCTTTCGATTGGGTTCAATAGACGGATCTGGCAATTCAATGCGCATGCGTGGTTAATGTTGGTGCGAATAGCTTAAGCGGCTAATCGCACCGGTGGTGCGAATAGCATCGGCCGGAGTGAACATCCTGCGCGTGAATCTGCGCAAAGGAACAGGGAGGAATGGGCTAGACGCTTGTAGTAAGCAAGAAGGTTTTCTGATTACGACACGTGATAAGAACTCGGTCGTCTATTGGCGCGCGCGTCGTAGGCGAAAATGCTGAACAGGAGTGAACTCAGTTTTACGTCTTCTGCGTCACGCGAATTTACGCCGGCGTCAAAAAAGTTGCGTCAACTACGTAGCGAGCGTACTCGTGTGGACGGGCCTTTAGATGTTCTCCATTTCCTAGAGAAAAATACAAATATCCATCTAACATTCTCTATCCTTAACATTTTTTACTCATACTAGACTCTTCAGTTCATTGATTTGGACCCTCCACCCAAAACTCACCTTATTCGTCGACTGATGCGGCCACTTATAGTTTCGTCTCATATTTTGTCTATACTACTCATTTTGTTTTACCGATGGTCCTCACCAGATGCAGATAAAAGGAAGCACTGCTTTCTAAAGCTGCTAGGTGTTCTTAGTAGTAGTAGTAGAAACTGTATTTTTAATTCTAAAAAATGCTTTTTTCTTTAATTGCTTTATCTGTATTTGGTGTTTTATGGTTTTCTATATCTTGAATTTTTTAATGAAGAGATTTTGAGTTTTCATGTATTTTTGCCTTGCCGTGAAGTGAGAACTGACTTTTAATTTCAGAGTTTACACAGATCGTATTTTATTCTCGAGTGTCAAGATGTAGAAACATCTTTTTACTCGACTTCTGATAAAGATCGGGTGGGAGGAAAAAGAGAAGGGTGAAAGGAGTGTGGGAGGCGGATGAAAGAGAGTGAGGTCCGCACTAGCGGCGGCGAAAAAAGGGCGGGGGGTGTCAAGTTCAGTGTCGTTATAAGATGTAGCCGCGGGTGGTAAAACCGCAGAGTCAGTTTGGCGTGAATGAGTCAATTAAGGTTGTAATTCTTATGTCGGAAGGACGTCACAAGGGTAACGATGTTTTTCTCTGGGACGCGGGGAGTGTCTGAGAGTGCTAATAAGGCTATTACTGTGGGTTTGTACTGAATAAAAGAAGCTGACCGCTAATCGTTTAATATACTCTTGAATAAGTTCGATTCGAAGGTCTCTGGTGAATATAGATGTTGGGAATATACCAAGGAGCATTGAAAATTTCTCGTAGAATTTTATTTTGTAGAATTTGTAATTGTTTAATATTGGATTTAGCTGCATGTCCCCAGATCGGTGCGCAGTATGGAGCGATATAGAATTAATTTGTTTGTAGTAGATAAGTTGCTTTTTCTACCAAGAAGAGGTCGCATAGTAGCTGTGGTGATTTTAAATTTTTGTACTGCGGATCGGAAATGGGTTCTGAAGGTAAGTTTTTGGTCAAGGGCGACTCCAAGGTATTTGGTTTCATTAATCCAGTCTATTTCTTCATCAAATATTTCAGAGGGTGGAGGCTAGTATTTCATGTTTCCTTTACGGAAAATTATTGCCTTAGTTTTATCAGTATTAATTTTAATCCTCCAAAGGGTAAGCCATTTTTCCAGTTTTATGAGATAGCTTTGGAGTTGGTTTCTTACGGCGATAACTGTGCAGGCTTTAGTAAGTATGGCGGTGTCATCGGCAAAGAGTGCAAGATGAACAGAAGGGTCTTTAGGGATGTCTTGTGTATAAATATTAAAAAGGTACGGCGAAAGTGCCGACCCCTGTGGGACACCAGCATTTATTACTCTGGTGCTAGAGTAAGCAGTACCGATTTTGATTCTGAATTTTCAGAGTTTAGGAGTGCTGAAGCGTTTTTGAAAAATGTTAGATATTAGAATAAAAAAAGTTGGCAACAGTTTTGCTCATCCTCGATGGTTTTTGTTTATGTTTTGGTCAAGTGTTTCGTATGTTCGTTTTGTTTATTTCTGTTATCTGCACTCGTTATGCTGTGTGTAAGTAAGTTGTAAGCAGTAATTGTTATCTTCAGTATGGAAAATATTTCGCGAAACCTCCGTTCAAGTAAGTCATATGTTTTAAATTTCTGTGATGTATCTCATTAAAATGTCATCAGTCTTGCCTTTTTTTTTTTTTTTCCATGCAGCCAATTAAAGGTATTTGCTGTCTAAAAGGAATTTTGAACTTTTTGCTGCATAGGATTTTAAATTGTCTTAATTCTGCTACCCGGTGCCTCCTTAAACTCTGAAACGTTCTTCAGCTAAATTCTGCTGTCAGGTGCAAAGTTATAAAAATTTTGAAAAATTAATTTCTAAACATCTTTCCATTCCTAAATTCTACTGTCTTGTGCGGCTGCATTGTTTGTGGCGGCGGCCAAATCCATAGCTGTTTGATTATTCGTTTTGAAAGGGGCCTTACATTTTAATTTATTGTTGCAAATCCCATCTGCTGATGGTTATGGAAACATTTCTTCTCTTATTTATTATTGTCTGCCTAGTAAAGCTGAAACCAGTATGTTTATGCATCACTGTTAAATTGATTTCTTGAGAATGGAATAAAATTACCCAACCTTCAATCCTCTCGCCGTTATTTTATATTACTGCAATAATGGCGCTGTACTAGTTCAGGTTAAAAAAATAGGTAAAAAAGATGAAATTATCTAGTTTTATGCCATAATCCTCTTACATCTTTAAGCATATTCATTTCATTGGAAGCACTTCCACAGAGAACCCGGTAAATGTAAACATCGCCAACTTTGGCGATAATAGTTCAAACCTGGTAACCTAGCTAATTCATCCTATTCGCTTGTGCGAAGGTTGTCGTTGTTCGCATTTGGAGATTTATATTATTCTTCTCTTATTTATTGTTATTTTTTCTGAATTTTTTAACAACGAATAAATAGAAATATTTTCGCATAATTAAAGAAGTTTTCGTCGAAAGATGCCGTTTTCGGCTCGTCAGTTCGGGGTCAAAGGAAGAAAATATGGCGGGAGGGGTGAATGCTAATTTGTAACATGCTGTTCACGTTATGTTCTTAATTATTAACAGTTGTAAGCACGCAGAACCATGAGGTTTCCAAATCCTAAAATAATTTTTAAAATGTATAAAGTTCTAGTTTTATTACCTTAACAATGCTACTGAAGAAAATTTGGTTGATCTTTACATTATGATAACTTGGCGATTTTTGGCGAAAATTTGGCAACCAACTCTCCTACAGCAACCCTCTATTTTTTTTTTTTTTTTTTTTTTTTTTTTTTTTTTTTTTTTTTTTTTTTTTTTTTTTTTTTTCTTTTTTTTTTTCCCCGCCGCCATTTTGTCTTCACGAAGTAAAGACATGTTTCTTTTCTTTTTTTATCTACTGAACACTTCGTCCAACAATCTACTAGTCGAATTACACTTATGCTAGAAATTTTATCAAACAAAACTGCTTAATCATGACAAATATTCACTGCAAAATTGGGAAAAAGTGCACAATACCATACTCCTTACGCGTTTTTCAAAATAACACATACACATAAACCATGTACACGCCGACTTATTTTTTACTTAAAAAACATCCCAGAATTGCACAAAAAATGGCATTGCGCACACTCTTCACATATATCCATGTACACTGCTTTTTTCTCATAAATTAGAAAAATTTCACGGAAATACATGACAATTTTCTCAATCTTTATTCTCGGTAAAAAGAACATATATGAAATTACGTGATCGCGAAAAAGTATTTACCCTTTACAAATATGAACATTTCCACATATAAAATAAATAAAATATCCAAAAACTTTTACCTCCAAATCATCTATTATATTATAAACGTCACCAACGAATTCATTCCGCAACCATTACAAATACTTAGTATCAAATATTTAAATTATTTCCATGCACGTTTATTTCAACTTAAACGTATACCAAATTCCTACAAACATAAAATTCACAAAATAATTATCATTTAATTAAAATATCACTAAACCATGTACACGTCGACTTATTTTTACTTAAAAAAACATCCCAGAATTGCACAACACTGCTTTTTTCTCATAAATTAGAAAAATTTCACGAAAATACATGACAATTTTCTGAATCTTTAAACCCGGTAAAAAGAACATATATGAAATTACCTGATCGCGAAAAAGTATTTTACACTTTACAAATATGAACATTTCCACATATAAAATAAAAAAAAATATCCAAAAACTTTTACCTCTAAATCATCTATTACATTATACACGTCACCAATGAATTTATACCGCAAGCATTACAAATACTTAGTATCAAATATTTAAATTATTTCCATGCACGTTTATTTCAACTTAAACGTATACTAAATTCCTACAAACATAAAATTCACAAAATAACTATCATTTAATTAAAATATCACTAAACCATGTACACTTCGACTTATTTTTACTTAAAAAAACATCCCAGAATTGCAGAAAAATGGCATTGCGCACACTCTTCACTATATCCATGTACACTGCTTTTTTCTCATAAATTAGAAAAATTTTACGAAAATACATGACAATTTTCTCAATCTTTAAACCCGGTAAAAAGAACACATATGAAATTACCTGATCGCGAAAAAGTATTTTCCCTTTCCAAATATGAACATTTCACATATAAAATAAATAAAATATCCAAAAACCTCTAAATCATTTATTATATTATAAACGTCACCAACGAATTCATACCGCAACCATTACAAATACTTAGTGTCAGATATTTAAATTATTTCCATGCGCGTTTACTTCAACTAAAACGTATACCAAATTCCTACAAACATAAAATTCACAAAATAACTATCATTTCATTAAATCATAAAATATAAATTAAATTCAAAAACTACTTAAAATATAAATGAGCACATACATTAAATTAATAAAAATTACCTTACAATCCTAATACTTTAAACTAAATCATTGCTAATAACAATTTTCCCAATAATACCAAATTCCTTTCCACCTTACATTTAGAACAATGCATAAAAATAATATCCTCAAATAATTAAAAATACTAACTTACCTAATCTTCTTCAGAATCTTTATTACGTGGCGGATACACTTTTCTAATTCATTCAATAAAATTATTGAAGGATTTTTTCTGAGAATTTTTCCTCCATACTTCCTCTGCTAAATAAAAAGCAAACTTCTCTTTATCACAATGCCTAAATACTCATTTCGAATTCACTTTAGTTAGGGCCATGGGATCCAAAAATTAAACAACACTGTTTCACACAACACAGAATAAAGCTAAATACAAAATTTCCGCATTTTTTCCCGATTTCCCCCCCTTTTCCGATTAAAGTACCGTAATTCGTCCATTAATATCACATGACATATCCCATGATCTCTCATTTCCCTCACGCAAAATAATGCGTAATCGGATCTGAGTACTGCTCACATTATTACCAAAATCCCAGGTAGTAACCTTTATCGCCTCCAAAATGTTGCCAAACTACCAGTTACCATATTGTAAAGATCAACCGCAATATTTTTTGGAAGACTACAGCCATTCGAACTGATAAGCCATTCTTTCAACTTCAAAACAACACAGGCATGAAGCATTAATGACATAAATTTCACTGTGTTCATTATGCAAAACAAAATACTTATATAGACAATGCAGGATCATAATAAGCATACATAACATGTTTAAAACCAAAGTACCTTATAACCACCAAAATATTTTTAACTCACACAGTGGAAGTGTATCTAAAAAATGAAATGGATTTTCATCCGCAGAGAACCCGTTGGCGCTTCGGGAAAGAACCCGTTGGCGCCGTTGCATTTTTACTCGCCAAGCTCCGATTAGATGAGCCGTAAACGTGGTTTTTAGTGTATGTAAATTCAAGTTAGCAGACAATGGTAGTAAAAATTCACAGATAATAAGTGTGTAGATGTAAAACTAACAGGTTAAACGTGATATACGAAAATAAATTTGTATTAAATTCAAGTTAGCACAGAAAACAGTGTATTAAGCATAACGGGAAATAGAAATTCATTTAAAAAATAAAAATTAGTATTCTTATACTTACGTTTACGTTATACTTATATGTATTTTCTCTAATTCATATAGAATACTAATATTTCTTTTACAAGTGTCATTTTTCATTATTAAGTACTTGGCCTGTTGATTGATGTATTTCGGTAAGAGCCATGCCCATGTAATAAATTAATGAATGCATGACTTTTAATACATCCATTTTACATAGTTTTCAGTATTTTTTTTTTCCAAGTTACTTGCATACAGCTTAAAGCATTTTACGTTGCAACAAATACCTGTCCTTTTTCATGATATATTTCACAATACAAATAACCTTCAACAGCAATGAAATTTTCGGTTAATCTTTGGATTACGGTAACTTGGCGAAAATTTGGTGACCAACCCTGCTACAGCAACCTGCTAGTTTGTTTGGACGCCATTTTGTTTTCACAAAGTAAAGGCATTTTTGGTTGATCTTTACATTACGGTAACTGGTAGTTTGGCGACATTTAGGAGGCGATAAAGGTTACTACCTGGGACTTTGGTAATAATGTGAGCAGTACTGAGTTCCGATTACGCATTATTTTGTGTGGGGGAAATGAGAGATCATGGGATATGTCATGTGATATTAATGGACGAATTACGGTTCTTTAATCGGAAAAGGGGGCAAATTGGGAAAAAATCTGGAAATTTTGTATTTGGCTTTATTCTGTGTTGTGTGAAATAGTGTTTGTGAATTTTTGGATCCCATGGCCGTAAGTAAAGTGAATTCGAAATGGGTATTTAGTGGTATTGAAAAGGATAGTAAGAAATGTTTTTTAAGGTTGTGTGAGAGAGAAATAAACATGTTTTATTATGTTATTTATTTTACCTGGTATCTTGCTTTGAAAGATAAGTATGATTTTAAAGATTCTGAAAGAGAATGAAGAAAAGTGTATCCGCCACGTAACGAAGATTCTGAAGGAGATTAGGTAAGTTAGTATTTTTTAATTATTTTTATGCATTGTTGGAAATGTAAGGTGGAAAGGAATTTGGTATTATTGGGAAAATTGTTATTAGCAATGATTTAGTTTTAAAGTAATTAG